CAGGCTGCTGACTTCATACATGTTCCAGCCTTCCAGTTCCAGAGATCCCTTTATCTATAAATGAGTCTTCATGACACGATCATAGACAAACTCAGAAGAGAGATCAAAATGCTGTGCTTGATTAAGTTGGTAGAGCAACATGAAGCCTCTCTATTCTTATACACCATCCTAGTCATCTTCTTAGTTGCTCTGTTCAGACCTCTCCTCTTATGTCTTTCCAGAAAAAGAGGAAGAAGACTGCCACCTTCTCCACTAAAACTTCCAATTATTGGAAACCTTCACAACATTGGGTTGAACCTTCACCGCTCACTTTGGCACTTAGCTCAGTACTTCGGGCCACTCATGCTGCTTCATTTGGGCGCTGTGAAGGTGCTTATTGTGTCCTCCGCCGATGGTGCCCGAGAGATCATGAAAACCCATGATATCATATTTGCTAACAGGCCGAGATCAAGAGCCTCACAGAAGCTCCTGTACAATTATAAGGACGTTGCATCAGCACCTTATGGGGAGTACTGGAGGCAAATCAAAAGCATATGTGTGCTGCATCTTCTGAGTAACAGAAGGATCCAGTCCTTTCGTGATGTGAGAGAATATGAAACAGCCTTGATGATTGATGAGATTGAAAGAGCTAGTTCTTCTTCTTCTCCCATAAATCTAACTGAAATTTGTGCAACACTAACCAACAATGTTGTGTGCAGAGTAGCTTTGGGAAGAAAGTATGCAGGGGAAAGTGGAAGGAAGTTTTTGAAGCTTTTGACTGAGTTTGAGGAGCTCCTGGGTGTTTTCAACGTGGGGGACTTTTTACCATGGCTTGGTTGGATGAGCTATGTTAATGGATTGGATGCTAGAATCGACAAAGTGGCTAAAGAGTTTGATGATTTTTTAGAACAAGTAGTCGAGGAGCATATGGCTCAACAAAAGAAAGGGCCAAATATTGACCCTGTTAATGGGGAAGAGCAAAAGGATTTTGTGGATGTTTTGCTTTGGATTCAAAGGGAAAACTTGGCTGGCTTCAAAATTGACAGACTTAGTATCAAAGCCCTTATTCTGGTGAGATGTTGTTCTTGTCTTGAGACTATTGAATTTTCTAAATTGGTGATTCTGGCTAGAACCAGTTAGATATCAAATACTTGCTGTGCTTGTTTTGTAGGATGTTTTTTCAGCCGGGACGGACACTACATACGCATCCCTAGAATGGGCAATGACAGAGCTATTGAGGCACCCAAATGTTATGAAACAACTGCAAAAGGAGGTGAGAGAGATTGCGGGTGAAAAATCATACATACAAGAGAAGGATTTGGAGAAGATGCATTATTTGAAGGCTGTGCTCAAAGAGACTCTCCGTCTACACCCTCCAGTTCCATTATTAGTGGCCAGAGAATCAGCTCAAGATGTTGAAGTGGTGGGCTACAACATTGCAGCTGGAACTTGGGTTATTGTGAATGCTTGGGCAATTGGAAGAGACCCCATGTCATGGGAACAACCAGAAGAATTCATTCCAGAGAGGTTTTTGAACAGCAGCATAGATTTCAAAGGGCATGACTTCCAGTTGATTCCTTTTGGGTCTGGAAGGCGGGGCTGTCCTGGTATTCTCTTTGCAACAACAATCAATGAACTTTTCTTAGCAAATCTTGTGCACAAGTTTGATTGGACTTTGCCTAGTGGAGTAAAAGAGAAGGATATAGACATGAGCGAATCCATTAGCCTTACTGTACATAGAAAATTTCCTCTTATTGCTATTGCAAATAAATGTTCTTGCTAATGTAAGACATATACCGCTTACATATTGCTTGAATTCATAGAAAATCAGCTTTGGAATAATGAATCACAGTTTTGGAATTTTACATTTTTCTAATATTGCTTTTAGGGTACTTCTCTTAAAATAATCGTAACTTTTTTATTTTTATGTAATAGAGTAAGTTGTTCAAATCCAAAGGAGGAGGAGGATAAAGAGAGAAATTACAAATTTTAACTTCTGCTGTAAAAGGATTTTATATCAGTGATAGAACCACTTCAACTACTAAGATTTCGCAAGACAATCATAACTCTTTGAGTATAATTAGGTGCTAAATGACAGCTATAGAAATTTTTATTGTTACCTTGCATCTTTTGAAAGAGAGGTTTGCCTATCGACAAACCACATATCCCTGCCTCACAGCCACTTAGGCCTAAAAGCACACCCCTTTTGCTTTCAATCGAATAATCAAGTTGAAGTGCTATCCATTTTGTTATTTTTGCTTTAAAAATATTATGAGTATATTTGTTATCGATTTAAATAATTTAATAATAATTTTTTTATAAAAATAAAAAATTTTAAATTTAAATCATATAACATGTAAATAAAATATGATTAAAGAATAAAAAAAATTGTCTCCAAAGATTAAAAAAAAAAAAATTCGGAGCAGATTCTTTGTCTGATTTAAAATTTTGACTTAATAACACATGACAGCCATGCTTTCTACTCATCACGAGCCCTTAGTTGGTTTCCCTTTCCACTGGTGTTTACGTTTACAGTTGGTAGTAGGCAATTTGAGTACATAGGCTTGGTTAAGTTGGTGTCTCGTTATGATTTATAGCGGCCACTAATCTAACAAATGAATTACAAGATTAAATGTAATTTGAGAACGTTAAAATAAGAATAATGATAAATAAAATTAAA